GTAGGATTTTTGCAGATGGTATGTGAGCAGGAAAGCATAAAGAATACCTAGATTCTAATCCTGGCCACTAACTCGATGTCTGTGCCTTAACTTCCCCATCTGTATTGTGATGCTGCAAGTATTAATTGCTCATGAAAGGCTTTTAAAAGTACTGAATTGTTATTAACAACAACACAAAATCATTATTTGTAAAGGATCAGAATCTACAACCCTTATTCACATTAAGCAATTCTTTATGGCCCAATTGAAATCAGTGGAAGTTGAGCCAGAGCAAAGTACTCTCAACGTGAGTAAGGGTGCCAGAATCTGAACCAGCATATTTAAATTGGATGACAGAAGAACTCACTGACACAAAGATGGATTCACATTGCACTTTCTCAGTGAGAAGACCTACAGTTCAGTACCAGAATACTAGAATAAATAAAACAAATTCATTTCTTTTGGTAGACAACAGGCTAACGGCCCTAAAAACTAAAACCCTTTTTTTGTCCACAGAATGGATATAGCCCAGACAGTTTCCCTTCCCTGGGATCACACTCTAGGAATGAAAGAATAGTTTAGTCTCCCACCTTACTTCTGCTGAGATTGCTTACCAGATTATCAACCAGTGTCAATTATGATGTGTACACCTGTGCACCAGGAACTAGATAAAGACCACCATTCACTGTGCACTGGCCATTGAACAACTTACAGGTGTTAATGACTTTCCCCCATTATTGACCTTGCCTAGATTCTAACCCTGGTGAAAGACTATCACATTACCAACCCCCTGAGTTGCCTATTGTGCTCAGTGTTGTATCATTATAATGGTCCATTAAGGGTTTGGCTGAATGATGCAACAAGTCATTCCATAAGCACAAAAAATGTTACCTGTCCAAGTTACTTTTTAAATTCACTATTAACGACAAAATCCTTGAGCAGCCAAAAACCAAGGGGAATCACACGTGTGTGGAAGACAAATATACACCAGCACAGCCCTGCTGTCTGACTTGCTTACCACTGGCTGGTTTAGGTGTGCCTCTCCTGTTCCTCTGTAAATTGTTCTGGAATATGGGTGGTTGGGAATTTTCCCTGAAAATTTTATTGATGGCAATCTGTGGGAAAGCTTTGATTGGACTAATTTTTTAAAATTTTCCATTGGGACAATCAAAACATTACAGTTCATATCAGCTCAGGTTGACACAACCAAAACATTTTAGTTTCTTGAACCAAACGGACCCATTTAGTTTCAGGTCAGTTTTACATTAGTCTGTGTTTGCCTGAGCTGCCATGATGTCTCATAGGTTTTTCTAGTTCAGGTGCCTCATGCTTCCATTCTCCTCTTTCAGTCGGGCTCCCTAGCTGTTACTACATCTCACACAGTGCTCTATGGTCTTCCCTCTCTTTGAATCACTGTGGTGCATTATGGGAATCATTTTACCAAGGTGCACCATGGGATGCACCTTGTTGTTCAGGTGAGGAACCCAATCCATAGAGGTAAATGGAGGCATGAGGCACCTGAACTACAACTTCCACCAGACTCCACGGCAGCTTGGGGGAAACACAGACTAATGTCAAATCAAGCCAAGCAAAATATTTTGTTTTGATTTGTTGAACTGAACTGAAATATTTCAGTTCAGGAATGTTGAAATGTTTGGTGTTTATTGGAAACGTCTAAACAAAGCATTTCAACATTTCTGAATCAAAGTTTTTCACAATTCACTGTTCCGTGAAAGTTTTCAGTATTTTGACTTTTTATCCTGATTCAGGACAAAAACAAACGTTGAAATATCAGAATTTCCACATTGGATGGAAACCAGCTCTATGGAATTTGTATTCAGGACTAGGTGCATGGAGATCTGCAATGGCCACTGCTGCTGAGATTCCCCTTCATTACGGACCTAGACTATGGATAGGATGATGGTAGCAAACAATGTCATGTTAGTTCTGTGATTTTTTTTTTCTTCTTTTGGTGGATTTAGTTAGGAAGGGATCAGTTACTTGGAAAGAAAAGTAAAGGGAGAAGGGACCCTGATGGGAAGGGAGGTGAGGGAGGACAAGGCAGGGAAGAAGAGGTTCAGAGGGGCAGGTGTGGAGTAAAACTGAGGTGAAGAGACTGTGAGGGAGAAGGTTGAAGCAAACAGCCAGTCATCACAGGGCAGAGACAGTTCAGCCAAAACTGTTGTAAGTTCTCAGAATATCTGAATGTTTGTGCCTGGAAGCTTCCCCAGCTGCGCCTACCCACGGGAGTCTCTGACTAGTTACTATCTGCAAATTTCCCCCAAGGTCACAAGGCAGGGGGAGGGGAAGAACACCTGGGTCCTAGTTTCCCCTGTGTCATGGGGGAGTGGCTGAAATCAGCTAACTTCTTGAAAACATAACAAGTTTTTGCTAAGTAGATCCAAGCACATTGGCTGTGTACACACATATGGGAAAATTCTGAGCAAGTGAATACACTAGGTTATAACAGAAATGGATTTGCATGCAAAAGGAAGAAAGGCCTTGTAGCCACAGCACTGGACAGGCGCTCAGGAGATCTGGGTTCAGTTCCCCATTCTGCCACAGACTCCATGTGTGAATTCTGACAATTAATTTTGGGCCTCTGTCTCCCCATCAGTAACATGAGGCTAATAATACTTCCATACCCAGCTTTTTGTATGGAAAAACAAAGTAATATCTGGGAAGTGCTCAAGTTCTACAGTGATGACCCTCATAGAAAAACCTACACACTATAATATTCACTATTGTGAACTCAAAGTGCCGGTGGCTCGGGTACCACATGTTCCCATACAGAATCTACCTTACACCAGCCTCCTCCACTAAAGAAAAAGTTACTTGCAATGTATTTATTTAAAAACCAAAACATAAATGCTAATGTTAGGTACCAAAGATTTTGATCACATTCCTTCAGGTTTCACTGAACATGTTTTATGGACTCTCTTTTCCCCCCATATACTTTGTTTTCTAGCGTTAATACAAACAAAATTAGAGAGCTAAACTAATAGACAGACTTGACTAAGACTCTTGCAGTACGTCTTCATCTGCCCAGTAACACAATCTACAGCCAATTGCAAACCAAGTCAATATGTGGTAAGACTTTAACAGCCGCCCTTAACTCGCCTCAATAATTATTCTCTTTAACTGACATAATATTCAATATACTGTTGTTGAGTGCAATAATGGTAAAATTGATGCCTTGAGGGCTACAATACGATTGAGTTTTAGCCAGATAAACTGACCTCTAGCCTAATGGTGTATTATGGGGTTTTACACCATTCAGACGCACAGTGTGACTGTTTATAATCCTCTATATAATTATATTACATTCCATTCTTGCATATCTTCAGATCATTCCAACAGATAATTGCCTGATTCTGCAACACTTAAATGAGCAGTCTCACTGATTTCAGTGAGATTCTTCTTGCCTGCAAGGGTTAGTGAATCGGATCTGAGGCTTCCAATGTTGTTTCCGACACTATCTTGATTTTATCATATGGTTGAAAACGAACAGTTTGTCTCTAAATAGGAAGCAAGCTTGTCATCTAGAACCATCTGGATACTAGGATTTTTTCACCCTTTTTAAACAACAACCTTCAGAATCCAGGAATTTAAGATGTAATGCAAAGCATACATGGCATCACTAAAAAATATCCATATTCTGTCAATAATACAAGCCACCTATTAGCAACTACAGCATGTACCAAGACACACTGCATTCGTGTTTTCTGAAAAGATCAATTCTAATTTCTGAAACTGGGTTACAATCATAGCAGATTATATTTTACATGTAAACACCTGTAAAATTTAGCTTTAAAAAAATCCATAAAGAATGCTGAAATAATCTAAAAAACTTTAGAATTTGTATATATGTTAATAAGAGTAGCAGGCCCTCAATGCAATAGTTAGCCTTTTTTTTTTTTTTTTTTTTTTTTTACAATGCAGAACTGTTTACGATGACAATCTTTTAGAAGGAGTTTTAAGATAATTTCTTTGAAAACATGATATATCAAGGACTGTGTAATTATGTGCAGGCTAATGTGCTTCCTCTACAGAAAGGATGTTGCATGAAACAGGCAATAAAAGAAATAATCATTGAAAGTTTCTTTGGGCAGGAACAAAGACTCCTCTGTGTTCTGTACCATGCCAAGTATGTTATTTGTGCCTAAATAAATTAATAAAATAAATACAAAAATGCAATAATAGTAATCTTCAAAATCAAGGTTGGCTCATTTGGGTATGTCCAAATTATGGGCTTGAATCTGTAAGGTGCTGAGCGCACTCAACTCCCATGGAAGCCCGTAGCAATGTAGGGCACTCAGCACCATGCGGTATAGGACACGAGATCTGAAATCCCCTTTTGAACAGTTAGCATAATAAATCATCTTGGAAGCTAACAGATGCCATGTTTTAATGCAGGTGACTGGGTGAAGATTAAACATGGAAATGCCCTTTTTTGTGACTAAATCAAGCTGTTACAATTTTACAAAAGGAATGGGTTTATAAACCTGTAAAAGTACATGTAAAAGCTCAAAGGTTAGCTTTTAACCATGAACTTATATCAGGAATATGGCTTTTTAATATACTATAGGATAGTCGTCCTCCCTCAAAAATAAATGAGTGAAGGAAGGAAAGAGCAACTGCACTGGACTTCAGATTATAGAAGTTGACTGGTAGCCCCTGAAAACATGCCAGCTGCCTTAGTATCTAAATAAGGCTTGCAGCTAAGTAACCTCAGTATTTGCAGTATTCAAGGTATTTCCTACACTAAGTGTAGGGAAGTAAAAGGGAATACTGTGGATAGAAATCTGTACCTTAGGTAAAACTAGCAAGTTTTACATACTGTACCACAGTCAAGGTACAACACGTCAAATACATCTCACAGTTATTTACCTAAAGATCCACAGTTAAAAGGACAGACTTTTAGTAAAAAGCATGTTGGGTGCACAACTGTTAGTAACTTCAACATACAAAATAATGGTCAGCCAAACAATTTTTACTACATGCTTTAAACCTCTTCTTACCTGAAGGATGTAGCCCCGCACGTAGTCCCGAAGTGTCCAGCCTAAGCCATGCAGGATGTGCAGCACCTCTTCCTGCTTCAATACACTGAAGAGTCGGTCCAGCAGTATCTTCAGTCTCACAGGCACAGCCTGGGTACCATAGAGCATCAGGCTGCTGATGTCAAACACTACGTTGGACTGCACAATCTCCACTTGGGTAGGGTGGTACAGATGCTGAGTGCTAAGCTTGTCCAAAGCTGACAGATACAGGTTGGGTAAGAGTAGACACAGAGATGGGGAAAGAGGAAAATAAAAGTAAGATTATTAAAGCATATCTAATATTCTGTCAAAGTGAGTCTTACATAAACACAAAGTGTATCTTCTTTACTACAGACTAGAGACAGTAAGCAATAAGCTCAAACGTTCAAGAGTTTCCTTTAATCTTTCATGCTTAAGTTTTTGGTGCCCTGCTGGTTTTCAAAGGTATTGAGCGCTCGCAGCTCCCATTAACTTCAATTGGAGTTCTGGGTACACACACAATCTCTGAAGAATCGGGCCCTCAGTATCTCACATTGGGGTGACCAGAAATGGATGCACCCAAATGAATGATTTGAGCCTTAATCTACAGAAAATAGAATCCACTGCAATATTTTAAAAATTGCTGCCGTGCATAATCGTAAACTGGAGTAATCAATTTACTGCTAATTGAACTAGCTGCTAGCAAACATAGCCAATTCAATTCAACTTACCTCTTTTGTATGAATTTTATGATCAAATATATTAATAACTTAAAGTGAGGGAGGCGAGGTTTGCAGGAGGTTTGAGCTTTATTTTTGGTTTGCTGGGAGGAGCATCTAGTAATTCTTTATCCCCTTATGTGATGTTTAATGTGATGGAATTACATATGGCATCATACATTTCAGCATATACCACTATTTGCTCTCAATTTCTTTTCCACTTTATGGATTCTATCACAGAACCTAAACTTCCAGACTATTTGTTTTAAACAGAACTTTTTGAGCTTTTAAAATAATGTTATAGGGGTTCCTCCTCTGCACTTTGGTTTCTTCTTGGATTCACTGGAGAGTTCATGTACTCTTGATAAATTGCTTTCTTACATCGAGATTGTAAAGGCCCTTATCATTTACCTGCTGGCTTCATTCAACACATTTACTCCAAGGAATATTTTTGTCAGAGTGTTCTGGTTTCCTTATACTTCATTTCTTCCAACTGATTTGTCTGATCTTCCCTATTCTAGTGGTTAAAGCTACTTTGAATAAATAGCTTTAAATGTAAATTTAATGTTCATGAAAGATAAGGGATTGGCAAGCTTGGGGATTGAAGTCCTATGTCTCTTCACAGGGCATTTATATTGCAGAAATGTGAAGGGCAGGATTCTGTCTGTTATTCTTCCAACACTCTTCAACTATTTGGCCTTATGATGAGCAGCTGATTTAGAACCTAATAAACAGGCTAGATTAAAATCTGAAGAGCTCAAATAACCCAAAATGTTTTTGTTCTTGTCCATGGTATTGTTACTAAGATGGTTACATTGTTAGTACTGTAACGGATATATCAAAGTACTCCATTAAGGGAAAAAAGAACCTAGAAAATTGAAATTGTTGAATGTGTGTATGTATTTGTGGTGGGGGTGTTGACATGTATGTGCCTCCATAGTGGGTAAGAAAAATAATGGAATCTATTTTTAGTCACATAACAATGGGTATTTGGAATGGAAGAGCAAGATTTGAATACATTAATAAAATATTAATAATAGTCATAGCACCTCTCTCTCATCCAAGAATCTCCAAACATTTACACCTCACAACACCCTTCTGAAGCAAGTTTTGACTACTCTGGTATTACCAGCCTCATTGTTACAGATTGGGAAACTGAGACATAGAAAGGTTAAGTGCCCTAAGATCACACAAATCCATGTCATTGCCAACAATAGAACTTGTCTCATTAGTCTCTGTCATGTGCTTTAACCGCTGCATCATACTCCTCTTCTAGGGGTGAGCATGGTGCTTTTTGTTAAATAAAACAGTTTAATTTAAAAATGTATACAGGGAGGGTAAGTACTTGCCTCTAAAAAGTTTGATGGAATGGCTCAGGGGTTTAAGGTGCTACTTCCAAATTGACCCAGGTCAGTAGTGATTGAAAGTTGTTTTCTTCTAATGACTGTTTGGGGATTATGCAAAAAAGTGTGGTGGTCTTGGTATTGCTCCTAGTGGAAAACCACCCACTTTACAAAACCACCACCACATTTGACACCAAAAGCCTTTGCAGAGAGGCCAGGGATGGAATAGACAAGAAGAGGAGAAAGTAACAAGTGGTCCTTCCAGAGGACTGAAGCACACTGGCAAAACACTGGGTAATAGGTTTCACAACCTACACTGTACTTATCCTGTGGTCAAAAAGAGGGCTTCAGTTTCCAGGGCTCTCAATCTAGCACCAAATTCACATAGAGTGGTTTAATTTTTTTTAACAAGTTTACCACTGGAGCCCTAGTTAGGATCTTAAAACTGGATGAGGAGTTAGTTCTGAATTTGTCTACATTTCACCAAAACCATCTTCAACTTGGAATTGGGGTCTTATACTGCAAATTATAGTAACCACAAATAGAGACACTGAGTTCCATTCTTTTTAAGCACAAGTCAGGATGTGCATTCAAATGCGTAATTTATAACAAAAAAGGCATGTATTTTTCCATGGGTGTGTCACAAGAGTGTTCAGAGAGTATAGGCAAACACCACACTACAGACTGAAATGAAATACAGGAATGGGGAGAGGAAGGAAATGCATTTGTGCCAGCAAAAGGCATAAGAAAGTTTGTGGCCAACAGCTGGAATTTTTGTGGCTCATTAATTAATGGAACTACTTTTCACTGCACTCAAGTACAGAACTAAATAATGTAGAGAATGCAACCTTTCACCATTATTTATATTGTACAAAATTATATCCTATTTGTTTAGAAAAAGACTATAAAAATGTTCAAGAACAAAAAAAGGAACAGTAACAAGGAAAAATACCGCACTGTGTCTCAGTGAATTGTAACTGCTTCTGCCCATACATTCTGAAAATACACAGAGAAGGGTGAGAGAAACACCGGGATGTATTTGAAAAGGTTCTTTGGAAAGCACCTAAGTGACTATTCCCTAAATCATTATTGAACCAATTTCAGTGCTCCAGCCTGGTGTGAAGGGGGCATTTTGTTGTTGAGGTGCCTTCTTTCAGATAAGCCATAAAATAAAACATCTGAGAACATATGGTTGATAAAGATCCCGTGGCTCTTTATGTAAAGCTGAGGATGTTCATTTCCATGTCCTGGAAAAATTTCAATTTGGGTAATAATATTCTGCCTCCCTGAATTTCCGCTCCAATTTCAACTGGATATGGCCTTCTTCTTCACTTCCTGTCCTAAACTGTTCTCTAGTGATGTTATGTGCTGATGAACAGCTACTGCATTTTACCTCAGAGAGTCTGCATCTCAAAGGTGAGTAAATTTATTCTTGTGGGTAGTATGCATAAGAAAGTTTGTTAAGTGCTTTGGGAGCCCCATGATGAAAGACACTATCTATAAATATAAGAGATCATATCTGAAAAATGACATAAGCAGATGTTTCCTTATTAAAAAGGCAATGGTGATTGACAGGTCATAAAAATACACACTTTGAGTCATTTCTGGCCCAACTGAAGTTAATACCCATACTCCTAAAGATTTCAGTGGAATCAAGATTTCTCCCAGAAAAGCCAAAACACTTAATCCTCATGTTACTTTTGAAAGAACACACATACTCTTTTAAAAAGCCACGTGTGTTTCTTTTGGGTTCAGTATATTAAATTTAGGTGCTAAGACTAGGAAGCACCATCCCATTTTGGCACCTCTTTTTAGTGGCTGATGCTGCCCGCATCTCCTGGTACTCCCCACCTCTGGATGAGTTGATATACAGAGGGAAAAGAGGTCTAATGAATATTAAACCACATACTTTGCAAGTAAAGTAGTCAACATTTTTGTGGAATGGCCTGTAAAAGGCCCTTGTGTTTTACTAGAACAACATACAGTGGAATAATATTTTTGAGGAGTATTATTTCTAAATTTAAAATGTTCATTTCAGGAATTATAATTAGTGAAAAAAGGAGCCAAATAAGTTTTCTTTAAACACCAAAGAACTATTAACTTGTTAATTAATTGTACGCAGTGTTATTGTAGCCGTGTTGGTCCGAGGATATTAGAGAGACAAGGTGGGTGACGTAATATCTTTTATTGGATCAACTTTGGTTGGTGAGAGAGACAAGCTTTTGAGCTACTCAGAGAAGAGCTCTATGTAGCTCTTTCACCAACAGAAGTTGGTCCAATAAAAGATATTACCTCATCCATCTTGCCTCACTTGTTAATTCTTATAAGAACAGGGAATCTCTTCTCTCTTCCCTCAGCTCTTTGAGTTATCAAGTATCATTGCTCCTGCTTATGGTCTGTCAGTGTTTCTGTTATCAACCCTGTTTTTGAATAGTTTATTATTTTTAGGGCTTGATCAGAGCTGGCGTTAGCCTTGTTGGGTGGGAAGGTGAAACAACTCTTCACTGCCCACACATGTACCTGACTCCTGCCCCCTGTGATTACACCACTGTGTACAAGGAAGCACTGACGATTAGCAGGAAAGCTAGTAAGATGATTCTTTGAGGTAACTCTTGTGAAACTGACTCATGTATATACAAAGCATGTGCTCCTTCTTTTCAGGTTCCATCCAGGCTCCTGCTGCAGGAGAAGCACAGTCCAGCTGCTTATGCTGGGATCTGTGCACAGCTTCCAACACTTACAGTTTTGCAAGGGAGAATTGCCCAAATAACCTGTGAGATTTGGAGTTTGCTAGCATCCCAGCTTCTGGAGGGTCGCATGTATTCTATTAAATTTTAGAATGTGTCACTACTGTTAAAAGCAATGAGCTCGATTAATTTCATGAGTGCTAACAGAATCCAGGAAGAAGAAAATCCAGCAATTCCAAGAGCCAGAGCAACACAATTTGAAAACAAACATCCTCCAGTGGGGCATGGGGAAGATGGGGACAGAGATGGCAGATGCAAGGAACTACAAGGTACTCAGCACTTTTGAAAATCAGGCCAGTTATTTAAGTACCTAAATACGAACTGAGGGAACTAATGTTAGGAATCAGTTTTTGAAGTTCTTGGCCAAATGTGTTTTACTCATCTATACCATCAATTCTGTGCACAAGTGATGGTGAAAAAACTGCACGGA